GTACATTTCCAGACGTTTCGCCGGCATCGTCAGTGAGTCTCGCCATTCGTAGCACCATATTACAACTCGTGTTTTTCCCGAGTTTGCTTAAGCAGTAGGCAAAGTTATCGCTAACTCTACCTTCCCCCAATCTCCTTTTCATTCGATTTTTCTCCCCAAGGATATCAATGGCCTCCCTTATCTACCGCTTCCGTGTGTTGTCATCATATAGGTCCCTCCTTTCTGTTGCCTTCCAATTAATCTCATTTCCTGTGTGTGCGATGTGTTTCGTTAATTCTGATCTTTCGCTATCCATTTTCCTGCAAAGCATTTTATGCTCCTTGATTTGTATGCTAATTTTTCTCCCTGTTACGTCAATATATTCTGTTCGCAGTGGCCGCATGATATACAGTAAACTCCTGAATAATCAAATTTGTCTACCCTTTCATGTTGCGTCGGCAGACTTGTGAAAAGTTCAATTGTTTCCTTCATGGCCACCCGGATATTCCATTTCCTTAATATTGGTCATAGTTTTTAGTTCGCTCGCAGGTAGGCATATCCACTTTGTGAATCCTTCTCCATCCTTAATTTTCTTTTATAGTCCCCATTCTGCCATCGGCTTTTCACGGCCCGAATGTTTATTTGTATTACTTCGCTTGGGTAGCCATTGCCGATGGATATTTTAATAAATTTGTCCAATTCCTCATCCCGGAATTCCACATCCTCAAGCGTAGGCTTCGGATATCCATGCTCCTCATTATTCCTATTTTAGCTTGTAATTGTAATGGTGGATGCAAACTGGTGTGCAACTTTATGGTGGGCGAGATAGGCTACAATACTTGGAAACATGGTCACATAGGACTTAAGATTCTATCAATCAGGGGGCCAGCCGGTAAAAAGAGGCAACAATCTCATTCATTTTTTCTTCATTGGTAGTTATTTTTGTATAAAGTTGACATAATTGACGCGATTTATGATTTAAAGAAGTAATAATAAAGGACATAAATATATACGTAAGATATCGCATAGAAACATGTAATGTTATCACTTTAGTTTTAACAGGATAATTTATTAAAATCCCATCATTTTATTGAAAGTCGGGGGATTAAAAACCGTAGGAATATCAAAACAGAATAAACTAAATATGATAGTTGCATTATTTCTACGAAGTATATAAAAAAACAAGTTAGAGCATTGCCAGCTTGAGTTAATTTTTGAATAGGTTCAACTATTAATATAATATATAGTGATTAACTCAAATTTATAAAAATTATGATTGCTGAGTCGAGTGAAAACGCAAGTGGAACGAAGGGAAGCGGTAAATATGAAGGATAAAAAGTTCGGTCACATCACAACCATAAATGGCATAGGTTTCGAATCTTATTATTGAACTCTTATTTATAAAAGGATGTTCATTATCAAGAACTAAGAGCATAAATTATCTTCAACCTACCATGTTGCAGTGATCCAGATAGCAATACACGCCGTTTGGCGACGAATTCAGCGACTTGATCAAGCTCCCCCAAACTAAGAATGCGTGAGTCAGCAAGCATCCTGAGTAGTTTGGCAACCATACGATTGGGCGCTAGGAAGGTTGGATCATCTTCAGGACCCTTGTCACAACCTTCGATTTCGCCTCTACGTTCTGCAGAGTCATGATCAGGCCTGCTTTGAATCATTTTAGGAGGCTGGGTAAATACAAAACCGGAAATCACAAGTATGCTAAATGAATTATGCATAACCTAATTGAATGTACCAAAATATATTTGTCGTAAGGAATTATCACCAGAGATATTAACCCTATTACGTTTAAGTCGATGAAGGAGATATAGCTGAATGC